GCCCGGGTGGACACTGAGGTCCTAGCACCCAGCTGCACCCACGCTCCCGGGTGGACACTGAGGTCCGAGCGCCGGCCGCACCCGCCCGCCCGGGTGGACAGAGTGTGGCCCCAGGTTACTCAGCAGCCTGCGGCCAGCACCGCACGGGTCTCCGAACTTTCTCGTCGCCATCAGCCACCCTCCCACCGACCTGCCGCTGTCTCGGGGACCTGCCTGCCGCACCGTGTCCTGCCTTCGCACACAGAGGCCCGCACAGCAGGGCACGCCCGGGAGGGGTGTCTGCACACTCGTGGAGGGAGCTGTCGGGAGCCCAGCCTGACCCCGGGGCCGTGCACGTGGGGCGTGGACAACCCTTAGGGCCCCTGGGCAGGCCCATGGGTATTATCCATGCCGATGCCCAGCCTTTGCCCTGTTGGGGCCACATGGAGGTGCAGGGGTCTGCGCCAGGAGGCCGCAGGTTCTAGGTCACGGCTGCGCCCGGCTGTGTGGCCCTTACCAAGCCCGCGTCCCCCACCTGGCACAGTCCGGGCAGGCGGGTCCCAGCGACAAGCAGCTCCCCAGCAGCAGCTCCAAGAGGCGGGTGAGGGGGTCTACTCCTGGCCCCCGGGAGTCCCACCAACGGCTGGGACAAGGGTCACCACAGGGCGCCAGACGCAGCTGCTCTGTGTGGGCGAGTCCCTCACTCCTTCCTGGAAGACGCCTGACGGGTCGGGAGACGCAGGACACGCTCAGCTGCGGGCGGCTCTGACCGGCTCTCAGACTGTGCGGTGGGGGCCTCTCAGCTGCGGGCAGGGCCTTGATCTGGACACAGACGTCCAGCCCGAGCACACGCCCTACCGCACCCACTGCCGCCACCGGCACCTGGCACCGGCCCAGGCAGACCCGCTGACCCTGCCCGAGCCGCCCTGCGCCACGCGGTGTCCTGGCACCAGGACTGGCTGAGTGAGCCCCGCAGGGGCAGGAAGACACGCCGGCTACCAGGAGGGACCCTTGGCCCCGGCCCACAGCACACGCTTCTCCGAGCTCATCCTGGGGGCCCAGGAACCCCAGGGGGGGCCCAGAGCTCGGCCCCAGCTGGGTCTGCCTCCTGACGGCTGAGTGACAGCTGCAGCACCTGGGAAGGCATGGGGCGGGGCGGGGCAGGGAGGGCTGGACAGGCAGCCCGTGGCGCAGAGCAGGCAGGTGGCGGCGAGGCCACGGCATCAAGTGGACGCACTCCGGCCGGACTCTGCCGTGGGCACAGGCCTGGCGAGGTGCCCGGGAGAGACGGCGGACCCCGGAGCAGACGCAGCACCCAGGCACGAGGAGCCCTATCGGCTTGCCGCCCTCAGCCCCCATCTGCGAAGGCCCCAGACCCTCGAGCTCTGCTATGCAGTGACCAGGACCAGCCCCTCCGGAGTCCCTGCCACGCAGCCCGAGGCCCGGGGCTGAGGTGCGCGCGACTCAGGCTGGGGTGCCGAGGGGCACGATGGCACCACGGCGCGAGACCAAGGCCCAGCAGCCACACGGCGCTGCAGCCCGTGGCTCTCGGCATCAGGGCCAGCTGTGAGGACGCCCCACAGGACAGCGTGTGGGACGCAGCCCAGGCCTGACTGCTGCTTCCCAGGTTTTTTTAGCTCACTGTAGTGTGCGAGTGGTGGACAGACAGAGAGAGAAAGGGAGAAATCACCCCGAGGGGGGCCACGCCGCGCGCGACTGGGGTTTTTCAAGCCATCAGGTCCAAGCCTTGAACCGCGGTCAGCCATGTGGGATCCAGCACCTTCCCCACACCATCTGCTGGCCACCAGCTCATGCTTTTCCAGCCTGCGGGGGGCACTACGGCAGCGAGTCGGCCAGTCACCCCCACGCCCGCTCATGGAGGTCTCCCTGAGGGCCAGGCGCTGCCCCGACAGGAGTCACTCCAGACACTGGGCGCCCCACCAGGGAGGACGGGGAGGAGGACCCAACACCTGGATTCCAGATGACAAAAGCCACCCAAAAACGCCCCCAGAGGAGGGGGCAGCATGTCGGCTGGGGAAGGAGGGGGTGTGGCCTAAGTGGGGCCCAGGAGGGGCCTGGCGTGCAGGGACAGGGAGGCGGTCCCTGCGCCAGGGCAGGGCTGGAGTCTGAGCCGGAGCCCTGTGAGGCAGGCGCCCCGGGCTAAACTGACAGATGTGGGTGAAGTGTGGGTTGGGCAGGGCACGGCCACAGGGAGGGCCTGGGGCAGCCACAGGCCTGAAACCACAGGGACTCCCGGGGAGGGACCAGGAGCGCCTAACAGCTCAGGGTGGCCCCACACAACCAGGCCACGCTTGGGACACGGAACCCGCCTCTCCAGGAGCGCCTCGATGGCAACCGGGGCGGGGATCGCCACAGCCCGGCCTAGCACGGGGACCTGGCTGGAGCCCGCCAGCCCCGCGTGGCAGAGCACACCCAGCGAGTGTCCACCCGGGGGGCAGTGCAGAGGCCGGGGGCACTCAGGCCCCTCCTGCTCACGACGCCAAGAGGGATGTGGCCTTCTTCCCCGGCTTCCTTCTCGTCGTCCACAACGCGCTCACTTCCCTGACGGCGAAGGCTAAGGTCTGATTCTCTTGACAGCCAGACAGGCTGAGTGTGGGAACGGGGGACGCAGCCTCGCTCGGACTGGGCAGGCTGGACCAGCGGACGCCTGCCTGCCCTCC